ATATCTATAATCAACAAAAATATTTTGCAATCCTACTAATATTCGCATTCTGTCGGTATCCGGCATCCTCTTAAATATCCAGTTTTTCATTGTCAGACTATGTATAAATCTTGATTTTTACAAATCTTTGTTTGTTAATAACTTTTTAATAAGCAACGAGCGACGATTAAATTAGAAGAAAAAGTTACTCAGAATTATGTCCTTGATAACATATGTCAAGGTCAAGGTCATTGGGGCTGGGTCCCCTATTCGCTATATTTACCATATATACATTAAATAACTAATTCTTATAATGGGGTCTAGATGTAAAAGTTAAAGATAAATTGATGTTTGTTTTAAACTGGTAAAAACGGGGAAAGAGCGCAATATTATTAACAGGTCTAAGACAGGTCACAATCGATTGAAACAAACGTATTAACATTTAATGTAGCCATTAATCAGTTTAAAAGATAGAGTATTGGTTGTATGCAAATTTCAAAGGTTTATAATTAAAAATAAGATATCTATGTATGTATTATAATTTAAAATGGACCACCCTGTATATAAGGTCAGAAAAATAAATAATCGATAAATAAAAAGATGTAAGTTAATGTAATCGGTGTATCTATATGCATTGCCATCGCCGAAACTCTCCTCGAATATAACAGAAATTATGTACGTCATTTCCAAATGTACGCACACGAGTATTCAGGTAACATAGCGAAAGATGATCAGCGGAGAATTACAATTATATAATGATAACACGGCTCTTAATAATATACTGAGAAAGTCATCGGGTAGCAACCAGCGGTGCAAATAAATACAAGGTCAATTAGTACGATATTAAAGTTAGTTAAAATATATAAATAAATACTACACATCGACAAGTGGAATAGTTACGCGGAACAAATAAATAGATATGGTAAAAACATCTTGTAAAGTTGGTTACAAAACAAACAAGAATAAGAAATAATCATTATTAGAGCGAGATTAAAGACTGAATTCCTACGGAAATATATTAGATTTGGAATCACTCCCTCGCACTTGTCGACCTTTCGGTGTTATCCTAATAATAACTTATTTAGTCGGAAATCTATCAATGCATTTCAACACTGCAAATATCTTTTTACTAAAAAATTACTACAAATTGAACTAAGCGATACATACACGTATATCAAATCAGCGCATACTCATATTTATACAATCTCTCGCGCCCTGTACCGCCTCATCCCGATGTCTGTCTGTAACTCTTTTTTTGCTAGACAACAAGGACCATTATACACATTTTTTGTTAACCATCATGTCAGCCTTAACAAGAAGTTTGAACGTTTACAGTCCAAACAGAAAGATATAATTAGGGATATCAAACCGATACATTACTTTTATTGCTATCCTTCTCAGTCAATTTCCGCCGAAAATGAATATCAAAAATTTTCCTTCAAACCACTCAATAATCTTAACAACACACTATGTCACGATATTGAGATCAGATTAGATCCACATTCCTTTAAAGAAAAACCGAAACCTTTCTCGCAGATTAATAAAAAATGGTTTGTTAACCGATCCTCCACTTACATTCCTGAGGATGTTCAATCCATTTTGCAATTAGGAGAAAATTTCAGTCTTCCTGTCTTGAATAATGACAGATTAACAATGGAGTTCATAAAAAATATTGAGAGCAATCTTACAAAGCTCCCCTCTGCAACACAATTGACCATTCAAAATCGCTCTGTGAATATCATCAACAATCTTCCTAATTACTCGACTCTGGAAAGTGAAGTTAATACACAACTCATCTCCACCACCAAAAAATTTCTTAAACTAAATGACAATCTTATTCTTACACGCGCCGATAAAGGTAACATTACGGTGGCTCTGGATAGAGACATATATTTCACAAAGATAGAGGAAATATTAAATGACAATAATACCTATTGTGTGGTTAAAAAAGACCCGTTAAAAAAACTCACATCGGGATTACAAGACTTATTAAAAAGATGAAAAGACTCAGAGTACATTTCGCCCTCAACCTATAGATCTCTATTGTGCAGCGACGGTGTCTTACCTAGAGCATATGGACTTCCGAAGATCCACAAGCCAGACTGCCCTTTCCGACTCATTGTATCCTCCCTTAATAGGCCGTTATATAACTTAGCATCTTATATTCACCGTTTAATGCTAAAAAGCTTTCCACCGGCACAGAGTCATATTACTATACTCTGTCCAATGAGAGAATGACCTCGGGTCGGACGAAAATTCGTCTGTTTCGCGCAGGTCTCCACCCACAGAAGCCGTATCTACGTATACGGTATTGAGTACTTCGCTATGTTCTCCCCACTTTGCCTGCCTATGCGCAGACTGAGGTCATTCTCTCTCTGGACAGAGTATAATAGTTTTGAACTCGTTGAGAAACTTTCCGACATACACATCGATAAAGATTTCTCATTGATTTCCTTAAACGTCATTTCCTTGTTTACTAATATTCCTGTTGAGATGGCCATTGACAGTGTCGCTTCCAGATAGAACTATATTTCTGCAAACTGCACTATATCAAGATTAAAATTCATTACGGCTGTCAGATTGATATTATATTCCACTTACTTCACGTTCAACGGAGTAATTTATCAACAAACGTTCGGCACTCCTATGGGGTCCCCTTTTTCTCCTATCATAGCTGACATAGTGTTGCAGGACTTAGAATGTAGAGCCCTTAAATCCTTGACATTCACACCCCCATTTTTTGTCAGGTACGTAGACGACATTGCTCTGGCTGTTCCCTTAACCCTTTGCGATCACACTCTAAACTTTTAACGCCTTCCACCCACGCCTACAATTTACAATGGAGATCGGAGAGGGGAACAGGTTGAATTTTTTGGATGTCTCAATAGTTTTAGTTGAAAATCATTTGATCTTTGATTGGTACCACAAACCAACTTTTTCTGGGAGATATCTCCATTTCATGTCTAACCATCCGCTGTGCCAAAAAAGAGGTACGGTCATTGGCCTATTCGACAGAGTAATGTTATTATCACACCCTTCATTCCATTACAAGAACTTAAAAATCATGGTTGAAATACTTTTGGATAATAGTTATCCTATTAGTTTTATTTTTAATGTCCTCCATAAAAGACTTAAAACTTTTATCCACAAAACAAATTCCAATGTTGACAACGATGAAATAAGTGACGAGTCTGA